GAGGATTGAGTTTAAGGTGCAAGAAATGCCATGAAAAGAGATGCAACTTTGGGTGTATTTGAGTGGGAAGGTAGAAATGAGAACCCTACAAGACAGACCCTTTATCCTCAGTGAAAAGAGATACTGGAAATACATACCATGTTTCCCCAAAAATAAGACAGAGACATATTTATTTTTCCTCAAGAAAGCACCCTAGGGCTTATTTTCAGGGGATGTGTTTTTTTTTTTAAGTATGGTACAACAATCTACATTTATTCAAATATAGTTAAACCATCTTCTTCTGGAACATCATCATAACTCTCCAAACCCCGAATTCTATCCTGAATTTCTTGTGACTGTATTTCTTTGAGAACCATTGGCCCCAATCTCTCATGTCGAGCAATAGAGCTCTCATGGGGCAGATGAGAAGGAGAAGGGCTGCTCATCTTCTTTACTGCTCTGTGATGAAATGCATGGATTGTGCAGATATGCTGCGTAGCCACGCCCATCACTAGGTCTTATTTTTGGGGTAGGGCTTCTAGTGCGCAAATGCTTAGAAATCCTGCTAGGGCTTATTTAATGGGTAGGTCTTATTTTCAGGGAAACATGGTACCATTGACCCAGGGAAATGATAAGAACCTTGCCTCTGTTTGGAGATACAAGCCAAGAAAAAAATTTCTGTGGAAAATTGATACTATGAGCTGTGAAGAAATGGAGCTTGATTTTGCACGTTATGGAGGGTCATGGAAACTATCAAACCAGGAAATATATAGAAAAACATTGATCCCAGCCACCTTGCATTACCAAATGCAAATGCAAGATTCTTTTGGAGAAACACTTTCTCTCTCTCTCTCTCTCTCTCTCTCTCTCTTTCACACACATACACAATCCTTACTGCTCATGATCTCACAATCAAATGTTTTTAAGAACACACAGGGAAATAATCCCTTATTATCAAGATTAAATAAATATAACCCCAAACTTGAGATTACAGAAAAATATGGAAAATATATAAAAATAAATATGACTAAAGTGATAACAAAGGGAATAAAGACTATAAGACACTATGAAAAAAGCAAATTAGAAAGAACCAATGACATCAACAAGTAATACAAATAATAATTGAAATTAAAAACTCAATAGACAGGTCTAAAATCAGATCAGATATCAGTAAAAAAAAAAAATTAGTCAAATGGAAACTAGACCTGATGATCTCATGGATAATTTGCATAGACATACAAAAAATAGGAATTATAAAATATTAAGATATATGAAGAATAAATTAAGGTAAAAAGGACACCTAATACAAGTTCTGGGACAGAGTAGAGATCATGGTAGCAGGACATTTTTTTTAAAAAAAAAGTAGTTAGAACCTTTTCTAAATCACATATATCCTCAGATTCAACAATGATGACTAACAAGAAGGACAGTAACAACAAACAATAACAATTCCCCTCTGTATAAGACACTGGAATGTGCTGTCCATATTCTTTTGATCCCCTAATCACATATTGGCTCTAGATGTGCCTTTGGTTCCCAACTCCAATACCTGCAACTTTTGGGCCGAGGGCTTTCCTCATGTTATGAGGCCTCATTGCCTCTGTTCATGAGGACCAGAGTACCAGGAAATTCACATCTTATCCCTTTAAGGAAAATCCTTAACCTGCCACTAACGGTTAGTCATGTAGAAATATTAATAGGATCTCCACCATGCATCATGATTGAGACAACAGTGAGATGTGACCCAAACTGATTCCCATGAGAAAACAATCTTGGGTGATTGAGCCTAAATTACTCTCTCTGGAATTGTGCTAGAAGTTACATATTTGCTTGGCATCCATCTCTTTCTTGTACTGTAATTTTACACCCCTATCCTTTTTTCCTGGGAACATTCCTTTAAAATAAGATAGAACACTACCACACAAATCCATACCTCCATCTCTGCTTCAGGAGAATCCAATATAGATACTCCCTAGACACATTGTAATAAAACTGCGAAACTTTAAAGACAAAGATAACATCATCATGAACAATGACAATTATATTTCTTAAATTACCTATACGGAAACAATTAGGCTAAAAGCAGACTTCTTCCCAAAAGATTCTGAAGGTATGATATCTGCTAAGAGAAAATAATTCTCAACCTAGAATTTAATATCCAGTTAAAATAAGAACAAGGGTAAAATACAGCTATTTTATAAGAAAAAGAATGATATAGTGTGTAAATCACAATTAGTTACAGAAAGAAATGTTAGCTTCATTTTTTATGAAGAAAGAAACTGAAATGAGAAGAAAAGGATCTAAGAAATAATAAATAGTGCTCGCACACACACACACAAAACAAACAAGAAGCTGGTAGGTAAAACTAAATGTAAATTAATCACATAAAATAAACAATAACAATGAATTGAACATATACAAACAATAGGGAACTAGACTTCTATAGAAAAATACAGTCTAAGATCCTGGGAATGGAGTGAAGTGGGTATAACTTGTGATGATTGTGATGCGATTAAAACATTCTAAGATTTTTGTATTGATTGGGAGGAGGAGAAAGCTACTGACGAACTTTAGATTTTCTAGGTCAAGTGTAGAAATTAAGATTCAGAAACTGCAGTGGGTATAGAAAAAGAATGGATATTTGACATATGAATCAATAAAGAAGAAAGGATAATAAAATCTGATCAATTCAATAAAAATCAAGAAGAGAATTCAATAAAGAAGCAAAGAAAATTGTAGGAAATAGAAAAGCTAGCTATATATAAATGTAAAAATATATTTAGATGTATCAGAAATCATAATAAATGTAATTATTGCTGGATTAACCCTGACAGGCAAAAAGAAGATGGTTCCCAGACAGGTGGTGCTTTTCAAACCTAACTGTGTGTTTTTTACTGAGTCATATTAAATCATAATCATACAGCAAGGCTGAAAGAAGAAAACATAGAAATAGTCCCAAACTAATAATATCAAAAAAGCCTAGAATAGTCACATTTATATAAAACAAAACATATTTTGAGAAAAAAATTACTAGAAATATAGAGTATTACTTCCTAATTATTAAGGAAAGACTTTTTAGGAGTATATAATTCTGAATGTATATAATACTTACCAAGGAATGTCAAATGTATAATGCAATGATTTCAAAGATCACAGGGAAAATTAACAAGTTACAAGCATAGTGTTGAATTTTGACAAACTCTCATTAATAAATCAAGAAGATAAAAGATTAATAAGAATATAAAATATAAATACAACCTAATTCACAATTTTAGTCTAAAAGACACATATAGAATCCTACCAGAAAATTTAAAATATGCTTAACATTAGACATTATTTTTTAAGTATACATGGAGCTGTATGAAAATTGGACACAAAGATAGAAAAACCAAATTATTTCATGAAGTAACACATCAGTAAAATATAGACCCCATTCTTTTAGTGTAATTAAAATACATTGAGATGTATTTTTAAAAATAAGTGGGAGGGAACAATACTACTAACCTTTTAGGGAAAAAAGTATTAGAAGGGAATATTATGAGCATTCATACATCAAAAATTAGACAGTCCCAATGAGATGGGAAAATTCTTAGAAAAATATACACTGTTGAAACTGACTCATGGAGAAATAAAAATTCTGAATAGAACTGTAAAAAGTTAAGGGACGAGGGATCAAAGCAGTAAACAAAAAAATTTCCACAAAGAAAAGCCTAAGACCAGGTGGCTTCACTGGTGAATTCTACCAAACATTTAAAAGAGAATTAACACTGATACTTCACAAACTTCCCAAAAACAGAAGAAGAAGGATCACTTCCCAACTCATTCTATGAGGCCAGTATTGACCTGATACCAAAACCAAACAAAGACAGCATAAGAAAAGAAAACTTCAGACTAATATTCCTTAAAAATTAGAGATTAAAAAAATGCTAAACAATATACTACCAAACTGAATAGAGCAAGATGTAAAAAGAATTATATACCACAACCAAGCAGACTTTATCCCAGGAATGCAAGGTTGGTTGAATATACAAAAATCTATCTATGTGATACACTGTAATAATAGAATAAAGGACAAAAACACCAAATGGTTATCTCAGTAGCTACAGAAAAATCATTTGACAAGATGCAACATTCTTCCGTGATAAAAGCACTCGAAAAACTGGGAGTAGAGTGGAACCTCCTCAACATGAATGCTCCTCAACGGAATATTTATGAAAAATCCACAACTAACCAAAATTAATGATGAAAGAATTAAAAACTTTCTCTCTAAGATCAGGAACAAAATAAGGATATATACTCTTATCACTTGTCTTTAACATTGTGCTGAAGGATCAAGCCAGGACAACTAGGATAGAAAAAAAATAAAATAAAACAGGCCAGGTGTAGTGGCTCACGTCTGTAATTCTAGCACTTTGGGAGGCTGAGGAGGAAGAATTGCTTGAGGTCAGGAGTTTGAGACCAGCCTGAGCAAGGCAAAAACCCCATCTCTACAAAAACTAAAAATTAACTCAGCGGATGGGCAACTTCCGTATAGTCCAATACTCAGATGGCTGAGCCAGGAGGATCACTTGAGCAAAGAGTTTGCACATTGCAGTGAGCCTACTGATGATGCCACTGCCGCTGTTAGCCCAGAGCAACAGAGCAAGACTCTGTCTCAGAAAAAAAAAACAAGTAAATAAAATAAAACAAAAGTTATCCAAATACAAAGGAAGAAATTAAACTATCTCTATCTGCAAATGACATGATTTTTTATATAGAAAATCCTAAAGATTCCAATTAAAAATATTAGAACTAATGACCAAGTTCAACAAGGTTTCAGGATACAAGATCAATACACATAATTCAATTTTATTTCTATACTTTAGCAATTAGATAACTGGAAATGAAACTTTAAAAATCCTATTACATTAGTGCTATGGTTTGGATATGGTTTGTTTCTCCTAAGTCTCATGTTGAAATGATTCTCAGTGTTGAGTGGGTGGTGGGAGGTGTTTGTTTGGAGTGGATTCTTCATGAGGATTTGGTGCCACTGTCATGGAAGTGAATTTTCACTTTTAGTCCCTGTGAGAATTGGTTGTTGAAAAGAACCTGGCACCTCTTCCTCTCTATTTTCTTTCTTTTAGCTCTTCTTTCACCACGTGACTTCTGTACATGCCAGTTTTCCTTCAACTTCCACCATGAATGGAAGCAGTCTGAGTCCCTCACCAGAAGCAGATGCTGCTACCATGCTTCCTGTACACCCTGCAAGTCCACAAACCAAATAAAGTTATTTTCTTTATAAATTATCAGCATCAGATATATATACTCACATTAATATACTATTTATTAGCTGCACAAAACGAATAAGACAGTGAACATCACGAACAATAAGATATCTAGAAATAAATTTTTAAAAGGAATGCAAGTCTTTACATTAAAAACTAAAAAAGAAATGCTGGAAGAAATTAATAACAATAAATAAGTATAAAGACATTCCATTTTAATCAATTGGAGATTTATTAAGATAGCAATACTCTCCAAAATGATCCACTGTTTTAAGACATTCCCTATTAGAATACTAGCTGCTTTTTTTGCAGAACTTGGCATGGCAATTCTAAAATTTATATGAACATGCAAGAGAACCAAAATAATCAAAATAATCTTGAAGAAGAGTACAGTTAGAGAACTCACACTTTGTGATTTCAAAACTTACTACAAAGCTACAATACTCAAGACAGTGTGGTATTGGCATTTGGATCAGATAGACATTTAAACAAATGTAAATGAATGGAGAGTCTAGAAATAAACTCTTAGATATATGGCCAAGTGATTTGAGAAGAGTATCAAAACTATTCAATGGGGGAAAGGATAACTTTTTAAAACAGATATCCACACGCAAAAGAATGAAATGGAACTCTTACCTCATACCATACACAAAAATTAACTCCAAATGGATCAAACGCCTTGAGAAAACATAGCTGTAAATCTTCTTGACCTTGGATTAGACAAGTTTCTTAGAATGGCATCTCAAGCACAAACACCCAAAGAGGAAAACAATAGATAAATTGGACTTTATCAAAATCAACAAGCTTTGTATTTCAAAAGATGCCACTAATAAACTAAAAACAGCAGGTGCAGTGGCTCACGCCTGTAATCTCAGCACCTTGGGAGGCTAAGGCAGGAAGATTGCTTGAGCCCAGAGGTTTGAGATCAACCTGGGCAGCATAGCGAGACCTCATCTCCACAAAAAGTTAAAAAACAAAAAAAAGGAAAAAGATAACTGTAGAATTTTATAATTCATAATCTGATAAGAGACATATCTAGATACTTAGATAGTGTAAAGTATTACAACTCAAAAAGAAAAAGAAAAATAACCCAATTAAAAACTGGGCAAAATAATGGGCACCAAATTTTTCAATTTGATGAAACTATAATCTACATCTCCAAGAAGCTCAGAAAACATCAACAGGAATAAATCCAAATAAAACTACTCAAGGCACAACTTAAAGGAAAGCCTTAAAAGCAGTTAGAGAAATAAAAAGACATATAGTATTAAATATAGGGTATAAAAGAATTACCACTGACTTCTTGTCAACAAATAACTGCAAGCCAAAGGATACCAAATGATGTTTTTAAAGTGGTGAAAAAAAAAATTCCTGTCCAACCAGAATTCTACCCCCGGCAAACTATATTCTTCAACATGAAGATAAAATACTTTTTTTCTCCAGACAAACAAAAGTTGATAGAATTCACTGCCATCAAACTTGCACTAAGGTTGAAGAATGACAGTTAACAGAAATTCAGACTCACACATAACAATGAAGATCACAGAAAATGGTTAATATAAATTATAATACTTTTTTTCCCCATGAAGAAGGCACTTAAGGGCAGTAGCTGTCAGGGTCAAGCAAGCACAGGGTCAGCACCCAAGAGTGAGTGCCTCATTAAATCTTACTACCCAGGGCCCTTCTTGCTGCATTCTAGTGCTGATCCTCAGTCATTAATTGAGTAATCTTGGAGCAGGCAAGATAACTCATTTGTATTTCTGGCCTGCAATGCACATAGGTTAAAGCAGGCTTTTTGCAGAAATCTAAACCTGAAAATACGTAGATACTGTCAAAACTCAAGGGGCATATGGAGCAATAGTCTGTAGTGAGTCCCAAGTAGATATGGGTGGGACACCAACTATGTGTGCTGTACCTGGTGAGCCAGAAGTAACAAGGTTCCCAGATGCTCTATAAAGACACATGTTCCAGAGGGTAGGAGGTAAGGTCCGACTTGCTTATTAGTTGACTCAGAAGGCTCCTTAGTTTTCAGTAGGTTCTGAACAAAGGAAGACTCTGCAAGAGGTACAGACTATGTTATAGGCTGCCTTGACACTCAGGCCACATGACCTAGGACATCCCAGGATGTTAGACATATCTGTGGTAGATAAGGATGTTGTGCTTATTTACTAGAAAGATTTAGTGCAGAGAACTAGTCACTGTTTGCAAAGCTTCTCCTGGTATATTATGGGGCCATAGCAGACACTGACATCAAGGGTATGTAACTGTAGCTGCTTACCATGAGCTGGGCATTGTCAGATCCGTACAGCCATGCTATCAGTCAAGGACAGCAGCTATTCATGGTAAAATGGATTTAGGATTTGGACTCAGGCAGTAACTGGTGGACGTTTGTTTATAAATCACCCAGCACTTTCATTCCTTAAATGAGATAACTCTAAGGTGCCATAACACACTGGCTTCCAGAGAGATTACATTTCTATTACCAACAATGGTGGTAATATCTTGCTTATTATCTTCTTTCCTTCTCTGTCTCTTTTCCCCATTCCTCTACCCATCTTTCTGGAATCACCTCCTAAAAAACTAACAGATCTCGAAACCCCATCTCAGGGTCTTCTTCTGGGGAACCCCAAACTAAGACACAGCTGTAGTTAGCATCATGTTATCAATATAGTAGACCAGCATGATATTCTATGTAATGTCAAAATGTTGAAGTCCCTGAGGATTATATTGTGAATGAGAAACACAGTTAATATAGTGCTTAGTCAACACTATGAATATGTTCTGCTATCTGTATCAGGTAGCAGGATCAAATTACTTTCGATCCTCCTTCTTGATGGACATTAAAGATTACCCATTCATCAGATCAGTTGCTGCATACAAAGTTGCTGAGGCTGGACAGATCTGCTTTAGTGAAGATACCACCTCCAGCACAGCAGCTATGATCATAGCCACACTTGACTAGGTTTATAGTAGTCAATTTCATCTACAATGATTCATACGGTTTTTGCCGGAGTCCTGCTGGTGAATTAAATGAGGAAATAATGAACATAACCATTCCTACATCCTTTGTCTTTTACAGTGGCAATAAACTCTACCATTCCACCCAGGGTATAATATTGCTTCTAAACTATCATCTTGGCTAAGGGGAGTGGGGACATTTGTGAGCTTCCACCTGGCCTTTCCTACCATATGGCTGTTACTCCACAGGCCAGGGAATGATGTTAGGGTTCTGCCAGAGAGATACACTGTGTGTCCATACTAAGCACTAGGAGGTTGGGGAAATGATCATAGGATGTGGCCATGGACCCCCTGGACCAATTTGAGGTGGACTTGGGCCAGGATTTCATTTATCCTTTAGCCTCGGTATTTACACTATCCATCAGCAACATCAGGATGACATGGTGGGTCCCATGTTATCACTATCAGGTCATGCACTGTGTGAGAGATCATAGTTTTCCATTACAGAGGCTGATAGCTGTCCACCTATCAGCTTTTTATTTATTTATTTTTGGCTTATATAAATTAAGCCATCCCCTCATTGTGTGGCCATCTATCTTGCCCCTGGGAACAACATGGTGTGTTGTCGCAAATCCCAGAGGGTCTATGCATCTTGGCTGCCTTTTCAGCCTTGATGTCCGTTACAGAAATTATGTCCAACTGTCTCTAAAGGTTAAGTGCTACTATGTGGCCTCTGCAGCTACAAACTTCTCTCGTCCCCTCTGAAATTGAGAGTGAAGTTCTAGAGCAGCATCTGCTGTCATTAAACCTAACCTACAGAGGACAGTTGCACCTGAGGTTGTCAACAATGTATGTGTCATTTCCACCAACAGGGCAAGAATTCTCTGGGTCCTCCTGAGGAAGCTTCTGCTGGGAGTCCTCTAAGAATTATTAGAACATATCTCAGAAATGTCCTACTAAACAGTGAAGAAACTGGGAGTATTTTCTATAATTCCTGTCTCCCATTAGATAAAAAAGAATTGAAAGCAGAGTCTTGAAGAGATATTTGTAGACCTATGTCCATAGCAGCATTATTCTCAATACCTAAAACACATATACAACCCAGTGTTCATTGGTGAATACATAGATGAGAGCATTGAAATATTACAATGGGATATTATTCAGTGCAATAATACAATGGAGTACTATTCAGCCTTAAAAAGGAAGGAATTTTTGCAATATGCTACAACATGGCCAAACCTTGAGGACATTATGCTTAAGTAAAATAAACCAGTCAAACAAGGACAAATACTGTATAACTCCATTTATGTGAGGTATTCAGAGTAGTCAAAATCATAGAGACAGAAAGTAGAACAGTAGTTGCCAGGCATGGGGGAGGGGAAAATGGAAGGTTACTATTTAATGGATATAGAGTTAATAGTTTTACAGATGGAAAAAGTCGTGGAGACGGATGGTGGTGATGGTTGCAGGGCACTATGAGTGCATTTATACCCCTAAACTGTACCTTTAAAAATGGTTAAGATGGTAAGTTTTATGATATGTATATTTCACCAAAATTTTAAAAATGGAAAAAAACATATGCATACCTGGATCCAGCCCAAGGAAGATCAGCTTCAGTAGCTCTGGGACAGGGTCTTAGAATGTTTTAAAAAGTTCCTTGAATAATCTTGATCCATATTCAGCTTTGAGAATCGTTGCCTTGAGATACATTTCTTTCTGTAGGAAATGTAAATTACATCCCAGTTTTTGGTTCTGTGATTAGAAGTTAAGCAATTCACTTGTAAATATTTTTACCAAGTTATAGCACAATGATATGCTCTTTATTTTTGAAACAACAAAGAAATCTTTGGGATTTTTTGTAAAACCATTACTGAGTACATGTCAATTGTGTTATTCATTATCATTTAAAAACAATATCTTGTAAGAAATTACATTCATACTTTAGTGCCAAGAAAAAAATTCTGTCTTTGTGAATAACTGATATTTTCCCTCTTATCAGTTAATAATTATGGTGTAAGGAATTGTAGATAAATTTTTGCCTGGTAAAAAACTCAGAATGAAATTGAATACTTCTGTTTTTAAAAAATTCTTATTCCTATTCTAATGACTTTCATGTAGTTGTGTCTTTTAATGAAAGCCACCTCAAATACTTTGTAAAACCAGGTTTGATGTGCATAAATAATGATGATGATGATGAAGATGATGATGACAGCTACCATTTTGAAGGCTGTTACTGTGTGACTGCATAGACTTAGTGTTTTAAAAAGTTTAATCCTCAGTTCAACCTCATAAGGTAGAAATTACTGCCATTTTACAGAAAGTAAGTTAATTAAACATAGCTTTTCTTCACTGATTATTATAAAAAATTATAATTACCAAAAAAAGGACTTACAAATGTAGACAATAAATTATTTCTCTATGAATCTACTTAACAACTTCCACTAGTCTGTAGTGGATAGTTTTTTCTTTATGACTGCCATTTTCAGTTGTACACTCTTTAAACACAGGAGATAGGTAATGCTTCAAGGATTCTGTCCAGTTTAATGTGGTCTAAGTCATGAAATTTGTAAGGTCTGGCTAATATAGTAGCACTGTGGCTGAGATGGAGGGAAACTGTTTTCCCATTTCCATCGTTTTTCCCAGCAGAAACCAAAAGCGTGGGCAGCGTAGAGTTCTAGGGACTTTGCAAGGACAGCCTCTTAGCCATTAAACTATGTGAACATTTTCACTCAGCATACCTCCCCCTTTCTCCCCAATCCGATCTTATTTGTCTTCAAAAAACATAGAAATGGATTATGAATCATATAAAATGTGTATTGTATTATTATATTTGTAGATGAAAAGCACTGTGTAATCAAAACATAATTAATTCAAGCTGGACACCCATCATGAGGTCAGACTCTGGCTTGAAATATTATTCCCTATGGTCCAAATATTTGTTAATTGAAATAATTTCAATATCATTCACTTCTTGTATTTTTTAAGAGATTATGTCACAAAAAGGTTCACACTTCTTTTAGTTTGTCTTGTTTGTACTAAAGGATAGCAGGTTGCACTAAAGGGCATTTTTAGAGGACCCTCTTGTTTTATTTGTTGATACATCAATGTCATAAAACAATGTCATAAAGACATCATTCTGTCTTTAAGAAAAAATGAATTCTAAGGAGAGCCAGAATAGGACTGAAGCAGGCCTGAAGGCTTGGATCCTAACATGCTGGGTGGTGGTACCCTTCTGATTTTCCCGTATTTATAGGAAGTACCCAGGGATTTGCTGCGACTGTTTTTAGTTATGAGGCAGGCATGTAGCAAGAGCCTTCAGCACATTTGGGAAAGCTAGGAGGTTATAAAAATTTCGGGGAAATCAGCAAACAGGGTTTTCACAAAGAGTTTGGTAGAATCTTTTCCTGATCAGGTGGTATCATTAGCAACTGAACACTTCCGAGGAAATCTGCAGGCCACGAGAGCTTGCCCATCTTGCCTGGCGAGCTTATGGGTCCCTTGCAGTGGATAACCATCTGCGTTAGGAAGTTGTGCTAACTTACCTCCTTTGAAGCAAGTTTATCCTTTGTTGTTCTCATTAGACTGTGAGTTCCAGCAGAACAAGGGTAAGTGACTGCTTTGTGTCATTTATGGACATTGGTAGAGTTTTATTGATTGAGCACATAGCTCAATATTATTTTTTTCTTCAAGGAGTAAGTAAATACAGGAATTAGAGCTAGGTGCTATTTTCCATGCATTGGATTTTACATGGAAATTTGAACATTTCACTAAATCATCTTGTTTGCTTTAGGCTCCCTCTTTTTACAATTAATCGATAATACTTAATTCCTCTCTTTTTCTGCGGCATGCCATAATGCTTTAAAACTTTAAGTGTGGACCCTATAAGTGTGTTACTGTTGCTATTAGATCAACTGACACCTTGAACTTGACTTTGTAGACTCAACGGAAACGACTGTTGGAGCGAGAGATTTAGAACAAGGGACAGTGACAATGGAATCCGTGCATCACATATTATGTGTCACCTTTCCTCATGCCTGATGATTAAGCAAGAGCTATTTTGTTGAAATTACAGGGCAAGAGAGACAAACTGAAGGAATGTGAGAAGTAAGTGAGAAATGAGGAAATAATGGCATCACATGTGGTGAGCCTTTGACAAATTCATTCTGAGGTTAGGAAGAGAAATAGGATGGTATCTGGCAAGGAATAAGGCAAGACCCAGCATGGTAAACAACAGGGAAAACAATTAGAAGGATGTTCTTTGCAGAATCACTTGTAGTAATAAAAAGAAGATGGTGGAGATACATTAGTATATTCATTTAATGAGGTAGTATGTTGAAGAAAACTAGAATGCATTAGAACTGTATGCATCAACATGAATATATTTCACAATATACTATTGAATAAGAAATAATATACATGCAGCACAATGTTATTTGTGAAAACATTCAAAACTCATAAAGAGGTACTAGAAGTAGGAAGAGATGAGGGGAGCTAATAATGGAGAAAGGGAACACAGTATATTTGTTTCACAATTTTTATATTTTTTATAAAGTAAACATCTGAAAAAATTAGAAAGTAGTAACTATTTCTTAATTCTGGGAGGTGGGCAAATGGGCATTTGTAAAATTGTACTCTTGAATACTCTGAATTTTTTAAGCAAAAAATACCAAAAGTCAATGGGCAGGGCCCAAATGAAAGAGAGAGACATTGAATCAACAGAAGTGAGAAAAACTAAATGTAGGGTTTCTCAAAAGCAGGATCCAATAAAAAAAAAATAGGATAAAAAAAAAAAAAAAAGTCTGGAATTATTAACCTTAAAAGAAGGCCAGATATGAAGAGGGCAGATTTGGTAGGTTATTTGCTTGGTTTTAGAAAGATGAAGGAGTTCCCACCTGCTTTAGAATGGCAGGAAATAAGGGAAGTAAGATTGAAGACCACAGAGAATGTTTTAAAAAATCATTTCAGAGATTAAGTGTGAGTTAACTAAAGAAATGTCGTGAGACTGCCAAGCAATGGAGTTTCCTTTTTGCTGATCCTGAATTTCTGGTGAAACTGATCTGTCCTATTGTGTGAATTTCCCCAGCACTGTCCAGCTGCCAGTGTGTAGGTCCAAAGAAAGCAAGTTTGTCCTTTTTAAGGATTTTCTAGATCTTTGAGGTCACAGAGTAATGATGATGGCGATAACTGAACGGAGTGTTTAAATCAGAGATTTGAGAAATAGAGCAGTTATAAGTGCTGACAAGAGTTAGTGATTTGGGCCAAAAAGAGAGACAACTGAAGTGTGGTGGAAGAGAAGGTCATGGAGATGAGACGTTCAAGGGTTTAAGAGGCTATTGGGTTAGCAGGGCCATTCACACAGATATCTAAACCAACCTCCTTGAATACAGGGCTTACTTACTCTTTCATTGTAGAAATTATAGTTCCTTCTTTTCTCTACTTCTAATTCATCTACCACCATTGACACATTCTTATTGCTCTTAAAGAGTAGCTGTTTGGTTCAGTCAGTCATCATCCAGTTTGAGGTTCCCTGTTTGAGAACCATTCTGGCCTAGATCATGGCCAGACTATAAAGGCTGTCTTTGAGTTAGCCCTGGTCTAGTATGTCAAGATGAGATTATATGGAGCAGGAAGACCTGGGCAAAGTCGTCAGAAGGAAGCTGTGCACATGATGAATGAAATAATCAGTGTGTGTGTGTGTGTGTGTGTGTGTGTGTGTGTGATGTGATTATATCACATGCCATTTCTCCATATACACTCATGTGTATATACATCAATTCATACAAGTTAAATTCAATGAAAATAGCTTTTAACTTCTTCCTAAAGGTCCTCATCAATATCTTTCTCCTGGAAATCCCAGGGGAAGAAGAAGTCTTAATAGCAGAGGGCACTTCGCGCCTGCAAAGCTTAAGAATTACCAGTCAGCAATCACACAAAGCAAGCACACCTTCCTTTCAAAGGTGTCCAGGATCCAGGGACTATGGGCACATTGAAGAGCAGACGGTAGGGCCTGGTAAAACAAGGGCAGCTATGTGTAGTTGGCCAGAGCTGTGGTTAGGTGCCCAGTGGCATTTATTCAGGGCATGAGGCACCTACCTATATGCATGACTGATTTAACTAATATAAAAAGTTCTTTCTTATTTTTTCACCTTAAGTGCCATGAAGAAAGAGGCAAAAGAAATCCAAAATAAATGAATAAAGTCAATATTATTTTTTTTTGCTGGAAAATACGAGTGAACTATGTAGTAAAGCCTCGCAATATTTCCATCTGCTAGGTAGATGAATCAAGAATAGTTCTACATTTATAATTACAGAGGGAGAGTGTGAAAGACCCTTATTCCTTTTTTTCCTTCTCTTAAAAAATGGTGAATAGGTCCTTTAGTACTCAATCTGAAATGCATGTTGTATGTTTTGGCATGGTGTCAAAATGTTAACAGAACTTATACTATGGTCTTCTAAGGGGAAAAAACAAATAGTTTAACACTGAGGTATTTTGAAGCAGGTGCTCTGGACAATTAAAGAACTTTGTGGCTTTTGAAGGCACCCTTCCAAGAACTAGAAATCTGAAAAATGAATACCACACTGTCACTTTGATAAAATATCTGGGGTTTTGCTTCTTTTGGGGAAAGAAAGCAGAACTCAAACAGCACAGAGAAAAGTTATGTTTAGTAAGGTCTGATGGATGCACAAGAAGCTTCTTGAAAGCTGCCAATG